TCAGCTCAGGAAGGACATGGAGGGGCTGGAGCAGGGGCAGAGAAGAGCAAGGAGGCTGGAGAAGGGACTGGAGCACAAGTGCTGTGAGGAGAGGCTGAGGGAGCTGGGGTTGTTTAGTCTGGAGAAGAGGAGGCCCAGGGGTGACCTCAGCACTCTCTACAACTACCTAAAAGGAGGTTGTAGCCAGGTGGGGGTCGGTCTCTTCTCCCAGACAATCAGCAGTAAGACAAGAGGGCACGGTCTTAATCTGTGCCAGGGGAGGGTTAGGTTGGATATTAGAAAGAAGTTCTTTACAGAGAGTGTGATCAGACATTGGAATGGCCTGCCCAGAGAGGTAGTGGATTCACCATCCCTGGAGGATTTTAAGATGAGGCTGGATGTGGCACTGAGTGCCATGATCTGGTAACCACAGTGGGGTTGGATCAAGAGTTGGAGTTGATGATCTCTTCCAACCCAGTTAATTCTGTAATTCTATGACGTGGCTCTGTAATCATCCCATGTACAATTCTCAGACAGAGCTGGTCAGGACACATGGACCAAAGAATTGGACACCTGGAGAAGTGCAATCAGTGAACATGCCAAGATGATGCAAAACTGGAAGAAAACATGGGTAAGAATTTTTGGAAAAGACATCCCCTACAGTGCTTTCTACATGAGCCACAGCAATCCGTTTTATAAACCGCCTCTCACATTTCTGCAGCTGAATGTATAACAAAATGATTAGTGTTCCTGTACATCATTCTTGACCCTCTGTGCAGTAAAAACTGCTCTGTGACATTCACTGCACTTATATCAGCTTGTTCCTTCAGTCCACTAAGTGCTCATCAGTCAGAAGTTCTCTTCCAGTCCAAAACAGTAAGTCTGTGTATACTAAATACAGCATATTAATTTTATCACATCTGTGGACTGACTGAATTGCAGACTACTGGTACTGTCATAAATGGTACTGTCCATCCAAGCCGACTTTTAAAAAAAAAATTCCCCATATCCAGCTATTAATGTGGTTTTTTTTTCTCCTACAATTAGAACAAAGTTTACTTTTGAAGAGTTTGGATATGACACTCTTTGTACGTGTAACAGTTAGTACAGGGCAGCCTTTAGGCCCCATTTTAATATTTAAAGCAATATTAACACATCATTCTGAAATTTTTCTTCAGGAGACCTGCAACAAGAAAAACAGCCTCTAATGGACAAAGGCACGAACAGGCTAGAAGGAGAAATGTATGCAAGTTACGAGTACCTGGTACTCTTTAATATTACAGCATTTGGAGATGTCTTGGCAGGTGTTAGTGCTGGCATTAAAACTGATATTCAAGAGAATCGACTCAAGCGTGAAGTGGAAGGGGATATTCTTACTGCACCAAAGTAACAAAGTTATTTATACGCTACAAGAAAGGCCGCCCATCCCATGCTGGAACTATGTCTGGTTTTCTGATGCCAGCTATTCCAGCTTAGTGAAGGACAAAAGCAGTCTCAGTAAGACTTGTGCTGCTCAAACAATGTGTGATGTTTGTCTTCTGCGTGGAGTTCATTAAATAAGCCAGTTAATGCTGGCCTTGAGTATCTCGGCATGTGATTTAGAACTTTAGGACGTGGATCGCATTTATTTAAAGGCATTTCAGCTTGCACACTTATTTTCTTCTGCTTCCCCTGCCACTCTGTTGCCAGGGTTCCAAAGGGCATTCCTTTCTGGGGTCAGCAGCTTCCATCTGTTCACACGCACTCCCTGGGCGGCTGTGCTGGTCTGGGCTGGGGCAGAGTTCATTTCCTTCTGTGTCTGTCTGGTACGGGCCTGTATTCCAGATCTGTGCTGAACCACAGCGCTGACAGGATAGGGATACTCTTGTTGTTGTTGCTTGCACAGAGCCAGGGCCTTTTCTGTGTTCCGTGGTGCCACGCTGGGGAGGGGAGAGGGATGCTCGGGAGGTTGGGAGGAGACACAGCCAGGACAGGTGACCCAGGCTGAAAACTCTCCCTAGTGATCAACTGCACCTTGAAAGTATGAGGACCTACACAATCCCCAGTGGAACTGTTTTACTGCATGGCTTTTCAGGTTTTTGTCCTTCTGCGTCTAATAAACAGAAAGCTGAGGTGTATAATTCAAGTTTTCTGCGTTATAATCATCTCAGTGGTTTTCAACAGCTGGAAGCAAGTAAGATGCCAGCTAATAATCACTCCATGGGGACAGCTGCTCCTAGCAATAGCAGAAAGCTTCACACTTATCCCTAAGTTATCCCCTGGCTGCTAAGATTTAAATTAGATTGTTTTCCACTTTGGGGAAAGCATTCTCCTCACGCTAAGACTTGAATGACCTTTTTTTTTTTTCAATACCAGCCCACACGCCAGGTGAAAATTCTTGTGTTTCCCTTATTAACCATTTTCTCTGTTTTTCACATTGGCAGTCATAAATTAATGCTGATGGCAGGCATCTGACACTAACATTCAGAAATAACCTTTTCCCTATTTTGTGTTCTCAGGACAACTATAAATGGACTTTTCTTGAATTGTCTCTCCTCCATTTGTTCAACAGATTTGGAGCAGGCCCAGTTTAGTTCTGTGGTGCTGAGGGGGAAGGTAAAGCTTTGTAAGACTGAAGTCAGACTTGTAGTTAAGCTTTGCTTTGTTTCAGCAGTGAATTACTGCCAAGTATTAAAAAAAAAATGGCTGGATTTTTTGCTTAGCTCAATTTTGTGAAAAAATATCTGTGTAACAGAATTAGTGAACGCAGCTGTGACAACCTGTAGTGAATTTTTTTGCTCCTCTCTGAGAACAGGGAGTAACTCCCTCAGACTTTGAGCAAGCTGTAGTATTTCCAAAAAGTGACTTTTTATGTTCTTCTGCAGTAAGACAAAATAGGAAATGTGGTAAAAAAAAAATAATTTCTTCACCAGCTGGTCCCCATTCCATGCAATGACTAGGTTTAGCAGTTTCAGAGTTTTAGGTGTGTATCCAAGTGGCACAAGTATAAATACAAGAGTCACAGCTCACCTCTGGATCAAAGATACATGCTGGCCAAAACCATCTTTTGTCACTGGGACCTTTCACCCCTGATTTCAATTTAAGATTAGAAGAAACGAATACAAAAAGTTCATCACCATAACTAGTGACAAACTGAGCATTTCAGCAGAAGGCAGCCTCCCCCGATCGATGCTCTTCCTCGAAACTGACAGTTCAAGTATCATTAAACCCCCACAAGAAGAGTTTACTTAAGTCACAACCATTCTTTATAGAATCAGTATATACCGTAACAGATTTTATACAATTTACATTCTAAAAAATTGTTTGCGTTTCAAAAATTATTTAAAGTTTTTATGTCACTTCTGTCACCGCAAGGCAGCTGCTTTCCAGGGCGTCGCACTACAAACGTTCAGCGTGGTGAAGCACTTACAGACACACTTCAGAGACGCTGGCAGCAGCACACAGGGCATCTGTATCATCTTCCAGAAGAGCTGACAGAAGCTACATGTCCATCCCTCCAATTACTTCCTTTAGGCTTGTCCTCCTAACAGCTACAACTTGCACACAACAGTATTTATACAGGCCGTTCCCACTAGAATACTCCATCACTACTGTTAAGCACATTTTGGTTTTTAAAATTTTATTTCCTCTAGTATACAAACTTTTATTTCTTACAAGGTATAAATTTTCCCTATTTAGATACAAACTGAGATTGCTGAAAAACTCTTATCATATATATATATATATATATATATATACCAGCACAACCCCAAACTGAAGGAATGAGGAGTCTCAGGAAGGAGCGGGTACAGACAGGATAGCAGGCTGGCACATTTGCTGTCCTTCAGTATACTCTGACTTAAAAGCAGATCTATTATAAACTAGTCTCAGCAGCAACAGAAACATCAAATTTATAAAATGTCTAAACAGAGCGTATTTACTTCAGGAATTTCAGACCTTTGTAGTCTGTGCTTTCTCCTTTACACCTGATGTGTGAGCCCAAAGGAACAAGACACAGAATCTCTTGGGATCTCTTTCATCATGCCCTTCCTTAGTTTCACTCAAGCTGCCTGCCCCAAATTAAGCTCTTGCTGACTTGAAGGAAGTGACATTGACGCCAGCCTGTCCATCTGAGCAGGCTTATTTATTTAGAAGAAAAAACTAAGAATCACAGAATCAAAGAATTAACTGGGTTGGAAGAGACCTCCGAGATCATCAACTCCAACCCTTGATCCAACCCCACTGTGGTTACCAGATCATGGCACTGATGCCACATCCAGCCTCATCTTAAACACCTCCAGGGATGGAGAATCCACCAGCTCTCTGGACAGCCCATTCCAATGCCTGATCACTCTCTCTGTAAAGAACTTCTTTCTACTATCCAACCGAAACCTGCCCTGGCAGAGCTTAAGCCCGTGCCCTCTTGTCCTGCTGCTGATTGTCTGGGAGAAGAGACCAACCCCACCTGGCTACAGCCTCCTGTCAGGGAGTTGCAGAGAGTGCTGAGGTCTCCCCTGAGCCTCCTCTTCTCCAGGCTAAACAACCCCAGCTCCCTCAGCCTCTCCTCACAGCACTTGTGCTCGAGAAGAAACCCACAATCAAATAACAGCCGAAGTTCTTTAAACAAGACTCAAAAATTAAGGATAACTCCTCTCAAGCCCCAGCTTTCTGGCTCAAGGAATCTCTTCCCATAGAAAGTTATTTTTCTATCAGATGCTTTTGGTATCTTGTATCACCAAAAAAAAAAAAAAAAAAAAAAGGTAGTCCATTAAAGTATGCCAAGCCATTTCAAGTGGTTTGGGGCTAAAACAATTTGCTGTTGCATCTGCTATAGTAATCAGCCAAACACATAGAACATGAAAACATTAACCAGTGCCTCATGTGCTCCAGTGCTTAATGGGATTCAGAACAGTTTACTTGGTTAATTAACTTCAGATATTTCTTAAAATTCTGTTATTTTGCTACCTTCTTCCTAGAGGTCTAACAGAAAAAAAAAAATATATCCCCAACAGAATTAGATCATAGAATCAATCATAGATCTGGATTTACTGATGCTCTTCCAAATTCACTATCGCCATGTCAGCAGTTGCACTCTTTTCCAGTTCCAGTGCATATGGGTTGTATTCTTCTTCAAGTTTTCTCTTCCAGACTTTAACTAGGGAATATTGGAAAACAACAACAACAACAACAACAAAACAAAACAAAAAGACAAAAAACAGACAAGAAAACAAAAACACAACAAACACGTTACCGTATAATGTTTGAGGAAGAACTTAAAAATGAAAAGTCAAAATTGATTCTCTACTCCCTCTTCAAAATAAGTGCTGAGATAAATGGACACACAGGCATGTTGGCCTTTATACCATGCAGCATCAGGAGATGCATGAAAGAAGAGTTTAGCAGTGGTGGGATCCACTCTGAAGGCGGTTCCAGCTGGGGGAAAGCGTTTCTAGAAGAGAACGCTCATGGACAGGAAGATGCATTTCAAACCATAGTTACAGAATATGCACTTCTAGAAGGAATCTCAAGAGGATTTTTTAACAAATACAGTAAGGAGCTCTGTTAGATCTCCTTGAACAAAACAGTGAGTACTGCCTGCCATCAGTGGATTTCAGAGAGGAAATCTCTGAAGGCAAATAACAGAAAAGCAGACACCCCCCCCCCCCCCTTAGTAACGACTAGTGTCAGGTCTCATTTGAAAACTGCAGGATTGAAGAGCACTAGGAATGCAAATGGAACAAAAGACAAATCAGTAAATACTCACTATAATTTGGTACATCCTCATCGGAGTCCTTGGAAGATGTTGTACCAGTTTCTGATAAGCCATTTTTTCTAGATTCAGGTGTTAAGAGGCTGGGCTGGGTTTCTCGCAGTCCTCCTTTAGCTTCTTCTTCTAAAGCTGCTATCATATCTTTGTAGGCCTTCCTGGCCTCTGTTGTCAGCTGTACCATTCTGTGAAAATGGTCCTGTAGCAATATAAAATATTAGCAGAGTTTAAATCATACAGTAAGTGTTAAAAATCTGCAATTAATATTCCTTATTTAGAACATTTATTTTCATACATAAAAGCTGAGCAGTTAAGTACGTATGAGGACATGAAAAACACATTGTTTATAAGCATTTATAAAACCACCAGTTATCCTGAAAAAAAAGCCAACAACAACTTGAGAGAGAGATTAAGAGGATGTTGGGAAGAGATGGCAAAAGTATTTTTTTTAAGCAGTGCTGACCGGCTGTACTTTGGAAACCAGTTTCTCTACGACCTGTGATGAAAGAGTGTGCAAAAGCAAAGGAAACAAACAAAAAGCTTAAAAATCAAGAGTATTTCCATCTCCCACGTTAAAAAAAATAAAGCCCAACAAACCCATGAACTGGCCCCATTTCTGCTCACCTGAGCCCCATCGTAGCTGAAGATCCCCACCACACTCACGGGCACTGCTTTGTTCACGCACCGGCCCAGGGCCTTGCGGTTCAGGGCGAAGACAAAGGGGATGTTCTGCTCACAGGCACAGTCAATAATGTTGTGCAGGGTGTCATCCAGCCCACCTGGAACAGACAATAAACTGTATTGGGACTGAAGAACCGTACTGCTGAAACACGGCACAAAATATCTGAAATTACACTTTACAGGGAAAAACGCAGGGATCTCAATAGCAGCGCTGGGTCTCCATTTTTAGAGGAGAACTTAACATTTTTTTTTCTTAATTCTTAGTTAGCACTATCCTTAGACTGCTGCTATTCCATATTGTGCTGTATTTGTATTACAGTCTAATCTAGAATCAAAAAAAGGACCCAGCTGCTAAGAAGTTATTTAAATGGTAACAATTACAGCAATTAAATTAATCCCAATAATTACAATAACTTTTAAGCAAACTGTCACTAACCATTTATTGTCACCCTGTGGCCTACAAGAGACTGACACAGTAGGATGCCTCATGGTGGCAGAGCAACCTCTGGATCTTCTCAGCCGTGCAATCTCCAGTGCAGCGATATTGCAAATCAGGAACTTAGAGAGACCTGAAGTCTCAGATAACTCCTCCCATCCCAGACAGTCTTGACTCAGCTTACACTTCAGCTGCACAATCTGAACAAGGCAGGCAGCTTCACACAGCTGGATTTCAGAGGCTACTCAAATAAATCCTCTCAGTAACAACTGCCAGTACGCCGAGTCTGGTCTTATTACATTTATTTCATTTAACAGTTATGTTTTTTTTTTTTTAAGAACTTATTTACCCTTTGACTGAATCTTTTCACAGTTAGGAGAGATGATGACACACTTCAGCTTCTTCAGCTTCAGATGTTTCAGAACTTCTCTAAGACCCATCACCAGCCTGCGTTTTATCTTGGCCTTTACTGGGTCTTTCTGATACAAGCGGTCTTGGAAACGAACCAGTTCCTTTAAAAGATCTGTCACACAACTGTCAACTTCTTTACTAAGCACCTGGCTGCAGTAACTGGAAGAAAGGATCAATGAAATGTTAAATCCCCTAAAATTAATGTGTAATATATAAATGTGTAATATGTTAAATATGTAAAATATAAATTGTAACTTCTATTCTCTGTCTTTGCTTTTTTTTTTTTTTTCTACTTCTGCTCCAAACACACTTATTATATATATGTGAACAAAAATTTACTTAAGATTTTTTTCAGTGTCTGAGAACTAAAGAGGAAGTTTTGTTACTTGTGTTATCTGGCTCCCCTATCACACTACATTCAAAATACACAAATGTACAATATAAAGACATATATTTTTATACCAGTAGATAGAGGTGTGCATATCTTTTTCTACTGAAGCATTTTTCTGAGGGCATTTATTTTGACATAACCCGAGTATGAAATTCTAATTTATTTCTACAAATTCAAGGCTACATGTAACAGACATGGAAAACTGGATCAAATTCCTCCTCCCCTACGTTCATGTCTTTCACCCCGCTTCTCTTATCACCCTACAGCTTTGTGCTGCTCATAACAAAAGCATAAAAACTGATGTCAAACCTTCTAGAACTCTCTAGGAAAGATCAGAGTTATAAATTATTTCCCCCCACCCCACCTGTTACACAAAGAATTTTTCAATAAAGGGGAATATGAAAAGAGAAAAACTAAAGATATGTCAACTGCATAGTCAACTGAAAGATGGCAAGTGGCACAGTCACATAAGATTATGAGATCACCACATCTATCCTGGACCTTAGAGACACAATTATTTCAGATTTTTTTTAAGTTAGAAGAGTTTTTACTTACTATTTCCTGTTGATTTCAGTAAGTCTTGAAGACAGATCTACTGAAACCACTAAAAATCTAATCTAGAGACAGAAAATACCCTAACCTGAATGTTCTACATCCTGTAATAGGTAAGACTGAGTTGTGCTGTACATGCTCAACCCAAACAGTGCTCTTAGTAAAACACTGCTGCATAGACACAAATTAAGGTAACTGTTATGGCAACTAAAAGTTAAATTAGAGTTAACCCAGAAAGAATGGCTGCATCACTATTAACCACTGCTATCAGATGCAGTGATGCCTTTGTGAGAGGAGAACTAAAACTTAAGAAACTGATTTCCTCAAGTAACTGTTTTAAGCTGTCATGACTGGATCTCTGACCTCTTCACATATAGTGATGACTTCTTATTTTATAAAGAAACATGTATGCATGTAGTATCACACAAAACCAAAAGTGTTTATACATAATAAGTCATAAATATTCCTTTTATTTCTCTGCCACAATATGAAAGTGTTTTCTGGTTAGTCACATTCTTTACTTTTTTGCCATTTGATCTGGTAGCATGAAACAAAACTACTCACTAAAAAAAGAATTTAGGAAATAAAGCAGTGCACCTTATTACTTAAGCTGTTACTCTGTTATTTAAAATAAAGTACTTACACCTTAACAGAAGCTTCTTTTCCTCCCTTAGCCTCTAATGATTTTCTAGCATTTCTGTTCCTTCAAGGAACATACATTTTCAAGTGAGAATTACAATGCTTTTCTCTGCATATCATTTCTTTGTGTGTCAGCTTACAGAAAAAACTGAAAGAAAATAGTTCAGAGCCTTCAGTCCGAACTCCAGTTGGTGTTGCAGAGGACCCAGCTGAACTACCTTGTTTAAAAAATGCCATATTGGTGGTACTGTGCAAAATCAGACATCAACGCAACCCATACTTACTCTCTAAAGTTCCTGCTGTGGATTTTTGGAAGGCTGGGGGTTAGCTGCTTTGAAGTCACTGAACCTTCTTTAGATTCCTTGATCCCCGTGTTCTCCAGAAGCCCTTCAGAAGCTTGTGTTACAGGAAGAGCTAACAAGTAAATGAAGATGATACTTCAATGAAAAGACAGACCAGAAAGATATGTGGTAATCTCATGAAGAGATTAATCTGCCAAAAATATATGGGGGAGTCACAATTATCTCAAAAGGGTTTGTTTTTTTTTTTCTCATTTCAAATTTCATTTATTGCCAGAGGCACGTGGGAACTCTCATTACAACACACCATAAAGCCAGCAGGTGGAGAAGTGTGAAACTGTAATCAGAATTCCTGTTACTCAATTACATTGACTGTGAGGTTTGGCCCAGTTTAAAGTCAAGATAAGTCTGAGATTAATCTTAAGAAATTCTCTGAAGTTACAGCTTTCATTTTGGTAGTATTTGGTATGAATTTCCAAAAGTACTAAATGTGCTCACTCTCAAATTTTCAGCCACGTACTGAACTACAGCTTCTCTTGAAAGATACCTGCTTGACTATCCTGTAGAAGTGTTTCGTTTCCAGTAATATTTTCTGCAGACTGACAAACGTTGTCTTCATCTTTTGGTGCTGCTTTCTGTTCTAACAGGTGCTGCTGCTTTCTTTGTTCTCTTTCTTTCAGAATGATCTAGAAGTATATATCAAAACCAAATCAATTCGAAGTCACAGAGATAACAAAGCATTACTCTTCCCACATATTTACAAAGGGATTAAGCACTGGCATCTAAGGCTTGCAACTTTTTTTTCTCTATTTGCACATAAAAAGAAGGAAAGATATTTCCTAAATTTAAGCAGAAAAGGACTTCTCCCTTGATTGCCAGTGTCAGGCTGGAGAAAATATTTACTAGGGATAAACTACATGGCAGAAGTAGAGTTTAAAAAATTCACTGTACAGAAGATGTGACAGAAAGCAACATGAATGGGCAAAGAGAGAAGATACAAGAGAAATCACCAGATGGGCCTAAACCTAGTTGCTGCAGAGTCAGGTGAAGTTCTGGCTTGGAAGAGCACAGAAACATCAAACACTTGTCTCTGATCCATTCTCCCCGGTCCAGCAAATAAGTATATATTTGCCAAAACAAGCTAATACTTCTTTGCATGTCCCACTGTACCAGTGATGTGTGGACACTTTGCTAGTGGCACTTTTCAGCTCCCAGTTGATTTAAGTGAGAAAGTATATTTTTGGGGAGTTTGTATATGCTGTTAGCAAGACCACCCTCTTCTCCCCCGAGCCCCTCCCCTTTCTGAAACCAAGCAAAGCTGAAACTGGATTCAGGTAAGTGGACACTGAGATGCAGATCTCCATACAAGAGGGCTTAACACACTCTCAAAGTAGTACTGAGCTCACATTACCCCATACTTTTACTAATTAAGGTAAAAAAATATGCAGACCCTTTTAAGAGGTGTTGGTCTCTTTGCTTTAGGTACTTCTCTCTGTTTCCCTTTCTTTACCAAGGGAGCACTGGAGTCCAAAGGGTTATGAGGCATCTTTGCTTGGTTTGACCGGTGAGTTTTTGTGGCCGTAGCAGGCTCCTTTGAAAGCAGTGGTATGGCACCACCAACTGAGATTTAAAAAAACAAAAAGAAAAAGTGTGCATCAGACTGCAACTGCAACAAATCCCTCAACTAGAATCCAACTTCAAGTTTAGGGGCTGGTATACACGTTTTAAATTTGTGTTGTGCTGCTATTAGGAACATTTACAGGCAATCCAGCGTCATGAAACGATGCTGCTTTAAAAAGATACTCCTCCCAGAAGACTGGTGTGCCCTTTACTTTTATTTTACCCCTAAAATCACAGCCTCAGCCCCTGAACTCCCAGAAGCAGAATCTGATAGAACACTGCACTCCAGGCTACCTTCAACATCATGCCATACTGCTTTAGTGAACCTCCAGGCATCTCCACGTTTCACAGTAAAGGCATTTCCTCCTCCACAGATTCTGTACTGTGTTAAGACAAACACTGGGTAGCAGTATTACAGATTTTAGACTTACCTGCTGTAAATAACCTTGAGCCCTTACACATGCCATTTGTTACACCTTAAGCTGAAGTTGGATGAGGTTCCTCTGCACAGGAGTAAGGAGCAATGGAAAGCTACAGCCACGTCTCTTTTGCTTAACCCACACAGCTCTCAGAAGGTGTCTGTGTTTCTTTTATTTTTATCAAGGGGTTTAGAGCACAGAAGCTTTAAATGACTGCACAAATCTGGATCTTCCCAACCACAGCCTCATACCCTAAAAACTACTGTCCCTTCACCATCAGTAGGAATTACTGTGAGAGTACTTTGTCAAACTTCAGTTACCTGCAGTATAAACCAGTTCACATTAGCAAGTCAATGAAGAAGATGACGTAAGTATCAGTGGAACGAGCCTGACACGTTTCTGACTCAGGCAACCTCTCTGCCCCAAAAAACACCCAAATATTCTGGCAGCTTGTCTTAAGTCATCTTCATTCCACAGTATTTATATGCTGATCCTCCAACACCACAAGCAGTAGTGCCATGAGCAGTTTACTTCATAAAACTGCTACGTGACAACTTTTTTTTTTTTTTTTTTTTTTTTTTTTTTTTTTTTTTTTTTTTTTTTTTTTTTTTTTTTTTTTTTTTTTTTTTTTTTTTTTTTTTTTTGGCTCTGTGTATCAAAGGCAAATTAAGAAAACACTGCCAAGACTGTTGTGCAGCACAGGTGACCACAGTAACTGAAGCTGGATTTGAGGAAATACATAAGCACACATCCTGCAGACACGTGATATTTCCTTCACTGTGTACATTATCATTTCTAGTTCACAGTTCTCATACTCCTGAACTTGATGGCTTTCACAGATATTATTTATCACATGAAGTAGTAAGGGGGATTAGAAAAAAAATCAAAAAAACTGTCTGGGGTCACACTCCTTGCTCTTCTTGTTTACTGTCCTCTTCTGATTACAGAGGTCAGCACAATGCCACTCCACAAACCAAAGTTATATTTTGGTACACACCAATTTAATGGGTGTACTGAAGGAATAAGGAACTATAAAGCTGAAGTAGCATCTGCCTTATACTTCCAGGATACAAACACGACACATCAAATTTCTCTTCTGCAACAGATTCAGACACAGGAAATTTAACATTAGAAAACAGGTATTTTGAGCCACACCTTTGTCCTCCACCATCTATCTACTCATCAATCCAAACACTGTATAATTTTATTGAAAAAAAAATGGTTATTAGCACCTCTGCAGCACTGAGTTACTCAAATGGACCAAAAGAAAAAAAATCAACTGAAAAAAAAAATAATTAAAAAGCATATTACAAGTTCTTTCACTTAGTGAAGGAAAATCTCATCAATTCTTAATATTTTGAGCTTCTGAATGTGACAGCTTTTAAATGAGCTTTTAAATAAGTATTGCAAGATGGAGTCACTTGTGATTAGGTCTTTTCTGAAATAATTTCTAAAAGAATGCTTTGCTGCAATTAGGAGAGAAATTTCATCACCATCAAATTCTAGCAAACATCATGGTTCCTTCCGAGAAATATACTATACCAGCACTGCCAAGATTAGATTTGGACCTATAATGAAGAAGACTGGGCTATTTGTTTCTGCTCCTGCTTATGCATCGAGAAGGACTGAAAAATTCTTTCCGTTACCAAAACCTAGCACACTGTTAACAGAAATTATTTCAGAGTTATCAGGTATGTCAGAACATACTTTGGCTTGGTCTGCCTGACTCCCACATAACATAACACTCCCTGTGCTTGCAAAGGAGCTTTTTCACTCAAGTTACAGCTCTAGGATTTCTAGGATCAGAGGTTAAGAAAGCCTTTGTTACTGTGCAGCCCCTTCCTGCAGGTTCAGATCAGAACAGAAACACACAGACAGAGCAAAACCCTCCACCAACATTGGTACTTCTGTCAAAGCAACATTTCAATCATGTCTCATATTTGCGGAAGGTATTCCTGTACAAATCTCTGTCCTGAAAATTTCTCCTTTCACAAGTCTTCCTCCAAACAATTCAGATTGCCAGGCTTTTTTAATTTTTTTTTTTTAAGAACCTTCATTTTCTTTTGTATCTGATGAATTCTGCTCCTGCCTGGATATTGAGAGATTATTTCAGATCAGAAATCAGACTACATTTAATGTCTGAATACTTAAAAAACAACCAGAGTTGAAAGAAATTTCACAGTAACCAATACCTGAAAACACCACAGGTTTAGAAGACTGCTTCAACTTCTCTGTTTGCTGCTTCTGCTCCAAGACTGCCAGCATGCCACCCAAATCCAGTTGCACAGGAATCTGACTCTTCTTACCACTGCTCTTGGATGTTTCCTAAATGAGTTCAGTGTCAATTAGTCATGCTTTCCATTTCAGAATGCAAAGACTTATTTTCTATGGTGTATATACACTCCAACATCTTTATCCGTAATGCTTTTAAATTTTTAACTTGATTCAATGATCTTTAAGCACAAATCAACTTCAGTGTCAAAAACATAAAAAATCAGAAACAGTTCAATTAACTTCTCAATAGCTACTGCAACAAAGCATAGAAGTATTAAGTCTTCAATAAAAGAAGTGTTTTATGTCAGGCTCCCACTTGGGTCAGACTGCCATCTATCTCTGAAAAAGATAAAAGGCTTATCAGAATTTAGACTTTTGTTAACAGTACGGAAAAACCACTGAGTCTTCCAGGGCATGTGACTGCAACATAAATAAATCATTATCTTCAATGAGTTATTTAAGAGAGAGGTCATTATCTTTGCACCACCTCCTAATAAGCACTGATCTGTCTGCTTTGAAGGGAAGGCAAAAGCTGTGTTTCATATTTAATGATTCAGAACAGACACAGGTTACAAATGAACAGTCTAGAAAAGACTACAAAAGAGTAAACTACCACAGCAAAATATGCTAAGGAAGAGACTATCAGATACTGCACTTTCAGAAGTCTTATCCAGGAGGATCAATTCGTTATAGTTTCTTTTAATACCAGGTTACAGAATGTGACCTTCTAAATCTTAATCTGGGATCTCACCTTGCATCAGAGCCGTGCCAGAACCTACTGACCAATATGGAACTACTTTCTGGCCTCACTGTTACTCCCTATTTCTCTTCCTTGCCCCAAAATAAGGGGATTTCCCTCCCTGCCTCCTTGCCTTAATCTGTGAGAACCCCTTTTAACAGGTTCCCAGCTCCTTAAGACAATCGGTTTGGACCGGAATTTATGACACAGTCCAGTAAGGCAGGTGAGAGAAAGATTCCTGACATCTGAAAAACTCACAGACATTAATGAAAAGTTTGCATTTTTCCCTAAACTCAGGATCACAAACTCAGTGTTAGCAATTACTACCACTAAGTGCTTCTGATCAAGGAAACCTCATCGCTTATCTCAAAGTATGAACACAATCCCAAATGAGCTTGGACATAGTCTTATGTTTAAACAGGTTAATTTCCCTTGTCATTTTGAGCTGTAAACTTCTTTTCAAAGACGAATTCATTTACCTGCATTTTCTTTCTTTCTAACACAGAAGATGAACCTTGCTTCCCTGACAGTCCGTCCACCTTGGGAGTTTCATCCAGTGAGGGAGACTGAGCATCACAAGGCTCTTCAGGGATACGGATCTTTCAGATTCAGAGACAGGAGTGACAGGGAGGAAGAGAAAAATATTTAAAAACATATTCAAAGACACACGGTCTGGGTAAAAAGAGGTGTGGTCAGCAGATTGAGAGATGAGATTCTCTCTCCCTGCTCTGCAGCTGTGTGTCCAGTTCTGGGGCTCCCAGAACAAGAAAGACATGGACCTGTTAGAGCAGGGCCAGAGGGGGGCCACAGAAACGGTCAGAGGGCTGCAACACCTCTTCTGTCATAAAAGGTGTAGAGAGCTGGGGTCGTTCAGCCTGGAAGAGAGAAGACCCTACGTGGCCTTCTAGAAATGTGATCATTTTTCAGCCACCACACTACTTAACCACACTTGTATTTAGCCCCTACCCAAGATATGGAAGAAAAAAACTAGCAAGGCAGCTACATCTTCAAGTATTTGTTACAGAAGTATGAATGGCCTGATGATCATGTGTCTCTTCATGCAAGCTTTGAGAGGTTATATCCCACTTATGTCTGCAAAGCTAAGGGGTTGCTTTCATCTGAGGTGTGCGTCTGTATAGCACTTTTTTTTATAACAAATCTTTTTTGAGCAATCACTGTGCCTTTTGCTACTCACTCCTCCCTCTCAATGCACTTTACTGCCTCAAACAAAGCAGACAATGTGGCTTGGGTTTTTTTTTTTTTTTTAAACCACTAATAATCACAGGGAAACAAAGCCAAGGACAAACATTTTTAGCAGCAAAACTAATTTCAAAGAAACAAAACCATGGAATTTCACCTTTATTATTTATGTTATTATTTTCAATCCTTGTGGTTTATGCTTAGGATTCATTCCCCTATTGAATGAATTTTGAAATTCTTGGGGATTTATTTCACTCATGTAAAACAAAAAAACCCCAAGCAAACATCTTGGATTCATAATTGACATTGATTCACATAATGGTGCAAGGGTACTTACTTCAGACTGCTTTCTGACTGCAGGAGTAAAGAAGGATGATTTCTGAGATCCTACCCTGTTTCTCCTATCAGAAGCAGCTGTCAGATCAGGAAACTCCTCAACATCCTACACAAATCAATCAAAAGATGATTTCGTAAGATAACAACCAAGCCCATATTTTCAAAACTGGTTCTTCTACATTCAAATGATTTTCCCCCTGCTTATCAAACATTAATCCTGATTTGTTTCATGCTACAAAAATTCAGAAGCCAAGCTGCACTGCCACCAACTATGATGAGCACTACAAAAGTCTTCTGTGCAGCAGCTAATTCAGGGCTGAGAAAGCTTATAGGAGAAATGCTCCCAACAGCAGCCTGTTATTGTTATCAGCTGATAAAAACAATCAGAGGTAAATGACACCTAAAGGAGTGTTCTTCAAATTGTTTAACAGCCTTGCAAACAACTTCCCTCTTCTTCCAGTACAGTCTCCAGCTGTGCAAGTCTGCCTTAAACATGCGAGTGGTGAAGAACACAGAAGAGTAAGTTTTATCGGCAGAGGACACATTATGCAGAATCTGGATTAACCAAGCGCAGACAGGCTGGAGCTTGCTCTACACGGTTCACCTTATATCCACTATCTCAGTCATATGCAAGAAAGAGAAAAATATTTCACAGGCACGCTCTTCCACCTTAGGGACACCTGCAACCACACACAGTACCTTCAGATTTTAACAGCCCCCACTAGAATAAATTTTTACTTCACTCTGTCAAATTGCTTCTTAAAGGCAAATCAATTTCTGGCATTTGCAGCACCCTGTAGCAAAATGAATAACAAATCTAGCACTTGGTGAGACATTACACTTCCCTATATTGGCTCTTATCACCTGTAAGAGCCAGAGGACATCAAACAAAATTAGGAGAAAGGCCAAATAATTCCCTTTTTATTTCCTTGTCAGATTCCCAGTTAGCCAACTATTTAACATCCTGAGACATCCTAATTTATTCAGTCTTGCCTCCCACAGAAAGTGCTTCATACCTTTGATTCTTTTTGGAGCCCTTCGTCTATCTTTTTTTAGTTCAAATGCGTATTTTTTAAGGAGTGAGAGGAACACAAGAAAACAAAATCCACGCTATGTTTAGATCAGACATGCCCTGAAATTCTGTACTGCCATAATCCATTTTCCTTTTTATTTCCTAATAATTCCCAGCACTGTTTGCATGTCTGACCACTACTAACAGCACTACCCCCATTATCAACAGCAGCTTCAACATTTTATTCTTCAAGGAAAGTATCAAGTTCAGGGCCTATCGCTGTGTATCAAAAACCCAGGATTCCCTTTCCCCAAGTGTATCACTGATGCTATAAATGCCTGACTTGTACAGACTAGCAGGCAATCCCACATATTGCTCTGGTGAGTTGCTGCCCACAGCAGAACCTTCTCAGACCTCCTGGGTGCTCAGCAGCTCCGTGTGTAAGATCCTTTCGTGCCTTACTAGTTCAAGAGCCCCATTCAAGCATCTCACCCACTTCTCAAACTGATGAGGAGACAGGCACTGCCAGCAAACCAGGAGGGTCTGAAAACACTCCCCCACTGCCACATCACGGATCCCAGTGCAATGTGTGTCTCCTGTTCCATGACTCTATGCCATTTTTTTTTCCAATTTTTTATTTAATAGTCCCATTTACCATCCTACTACTTTCCATGACTTCTGCCATTCATAGGCCAGGCACTGTGTGGCAGCACAGGGCAAAACCAAGAACGAACCTGCTGATCTTTGATTCCAATCCTGATTCTCTAATAAAGAGGTCTGTTAACAGTCACTTCTTGTGCCATTCCAGGACAAGGAACCACACAGTGAAACTGTTTCACGTGCCAAGTTAAAACACACAGAGGAGAAGCCAGCTAGGAAGGCTTCTTTATGCTGTCATTTCATGCTGAACCATATTAGGCCTTCAAGGAAGCACTGTTAAACCACGGACCATACAACAATTCCCTAACGTGGGAGAGTCTAATGCTTTTGCCATACTGATACACAAAAGCATCAAAATGCTAATACGCATATTACAGGTATATGAAGTTGGAAAAAAACTGGAATTAGCAGCCAGAAATGTAAGCAGTGTCAGCTGAGTTACACTGAAATTGCTTCCAGATGTGAGAGAGTCACAATTGTAATACTGGTATCACATTCTTTAAAACTGTGGCACACTGCAGGACTCAGTATGTTCCCCAACCCCTGTGCAACAATTGCTTCAGAATAGTTTTAATTTAGGAAATTTGACCTTTGTTATCTGCTGTGCACCACTCCAAATTTGCCAACTCTCCTCTGCACTCCTGTGTGCTCACTGAACAGGTGGCCCATTGGAAAAGCACAACAGCTTCCTACCAGTAGCCTCTGACAAACACTGCAACTGAAATAAACCTGTAACATCCTCTACAAACTGGTTTCAAACTTAAATCTCTGCAAAGCTGAGTTATCATCTCATCTTCCAATACACTCACACACTTAAAAGAACAGCAATGAAAACCTCTTCACTGTACCTCAATCTTCGGTGGTTCCTGTATTGTAGTAGATTCACTTTGTGGTCTCTCTACATCAGTGGGTAACTTTGTTTTTTTCTTCTTTTTCTTCTTTTTTTTCTTCTTTTCTGAACCTTCTTCAGGCTCAGTTTCACTAGCATCATTTTTTGTTTCTGACTGCTGAAAAAACAGTCATGAGGCATGACCTTTAGAAATGTATTTTTTTTCAGTATCACCTACCAAAATACACGCAAGTGATTATACTTACACAACAAAAAGGTATTTTAATCAGTGCAGGCTAGGACATTAGGTGGACAAAAAAAATTCAAGATCTCTTAGAAATTCACAGCTACTGCAATGATTCCTCATTTAAAGGACATTGCATTGTTATCAGAACACACTGGGACTACTGAGATTTCATTAGGAAATATCAAGCCACATAAGGCAAGAGTTCTATGTTTCATGTCTCAATCTGAGGATCAAGAATTTGAAAAGAATGCAGTTTTTGTTCAGCAGCACTGTCTTTTTTACATTCTGTGATTCTTTTCCACTACAAGAAAAATTCTAATAAGACCAAAGTGCCTTTATACTATCTCGTAAAAGCTACATTAGAAGTGGACAACGTACTGAGCCTAGGGGAAAAAAGGTCAGTAAAGAGACCCAATGACAGTTACAGAAATTAGTTGAGATAAGAGAATTCTCAAGTACCTTTGGCTCACTATCCTCCTTCCCTTTGCCTCTGGAAAGACCTTCAGATGCTGGTGATGAAATAATTTTCTTTGGGGGCTGTGAAAGTATCCCTGCCCAAGACACACGTGGCTGAGCAGAGCCATCTGCAGGCGCTTCAGGAAACGTTGTTGGAAAAAGAAAAGACACACAAAGACATCTCAAAAATATTTCTCAAATATTCAAAACAAAAAGGACCATTAGTGAATTAACCAAGGCCTAGCAAATACAGCAGAGCCATATTCCTCCTGAGGAAAGACTGAAACAAGACACACATTTTATTTCTTCAGAAAGCTTTTCTCAGTTGCAGCTAATCCATATACTTTCCAATGCTATATATACAGAATCACAATTAAATAATATTTGGAAGTCTATTGTACTAACTACACTATACTTCCTCAAGTGTTTCAGTGTGCAAGAATGTAACCCACTACCGACTCAGAGATATCCAAGTCTTGAAAGAACTCAGACATAATCAATTTTGTAAATATTCCTAACACACAACAAATGCAGAACGCAATCTAAACTTCTCTTGAAGAATAAGAAAAACTTCCACAGAGCAATTAAACAGCTCAATGAATTTAGATGGCAAGGTTTTGGTGGCAGGGGGAGGCTGGAGGGAGCCTCTGTGAGGAGATGGACGCTGCCACCCACAGATGGTGACACTGCCAGCCCCAGCAGAGCCCATCAGCCATGCTGGCAGTGCCTGTGTGAGAACACCCTTAAGAACGAGTAAAAAAACACTGTGCAGCAGTTGGGAGAGAGAACGAGATAAGAAAACAGACAGCAAGGTCAGCGCAGTAGGAGGGGGAGGAGGTGCCCCAGGTGCTGCAGCAGAGATTCCCCTGCAGCCCACAGTGCACAGCATGGAAAGGCAGCTGAGCCCTTGCAGAGGAAGAAGTTCAGAGAGTGGGCCCTGTGTCCCCATGTCACTTCGGTGTTAGGAAGAAGAAAGGGTGGGAGAAAAGGGTTTTTAGTTGTTTTTGCTTCTCATCGTCTGACCCTCTTTTTAATTGGTAATAAATTAACCTCTACCAAGTTGAGTCTGCTTTGCTTGTGATGAGTGTCTGGCAAGCAACCTCCCTGCCCTTATCTTGGTTCACAAGCTTTTTTCTCTTATCTTCTCCCCCCATCCCTCAGAGAGTGGCTGGGTAGGAGTTTGCTTGCCTGCCTGCCAAGGTCAACCCACCAGAAACTGCTACTTTATTCTCAGGGACAGGACAATTCTCAGGAATTGAGAATAGTATGTGACAAAAAAAAATCCATTATCACATGACTTTAAAGTTTCTGAAATACCTTTATCTTTAGAGGGCCCTTCAAGACATGCCAGCAGATTAACCTGTCCTTTCTGAATCTTTACTGAAGTCAGTGGGAAGATAAGGACTAAACTGTCCAGACTGGTGCATGCCCTTATACACACAGAAATCCAGTGAGAGGCACTTAAGATAATCCAATACTTATTGCAACTGATGCCTCCAAGAGAGAGGAGGCGAACAGAACCTTCTGCACACGATTCCGCTGGGGGCAGAGTGTCTGGAAAGCTGCCCACAAAAAGGACCTGGGTGTGCTGGTCAGCAGCAGCTGAACATGAGCCAGCAGTGTGCCCAGGTGGCCAGAAAGGCCAGCGGAATCCTGGCTTGTATCAGCAATAGTGTGGCCAGAGCAGTGATTGTCCCCCTGTACTCGTCGCTGGTGAGGCCACAGCTCGAGTGCTGTGCCCAGCTCTGGGCCCCTCAGCTCAGGAGGGACATTGAAGGTGTTTGAGCATGTCCGGAGAAGGGCAACAGAGCTGGGGAAGGGTCTGGAGCACAAGCCTTGAGAGGAAGCTGGGGTTGTTCATCCTGGAGTGGAGGAGACTCAGCAGAGACTACACAACTCTCTACAACCACCTGAAAGGAGGTTGCAGAGGTGGGGTTCTGCCTCTTCTCCCACGTAACGAGCAAGAAAAAGCCTCAAGTTGCACCAAGGCAAATTTATATTGGATATTGAGAAATTTTTTTTCACCAAAAGGGTTATCAAGCATTGGAAGAGTCACCACTCCTGGGGGTATTTAAAACATGTGGAAACTTGGCACTTAGGGACATGGCAGTGTTAGGATTATAGTCTCTTCCAAAATAAACGATTCTACAATGATTCAGCTGATGAAATCCATGAGCAACAACGAGCAGTAAGTGGTCATCTCATTTGAAAGAAAGTGATCCAGCTTAATCTGTTTGGGCTTTTTTTTTTTTTTTTTGTTGTAATGAACTTGCTCTTTAATTTTTTTTTTTTTTTTTTTTTACTTCACACATCCACAGCTCCTCAGAACACTTTAGTTTTCCAAACTGATGAGATGCAAGCAGTAAAAAATACAGGCAAATGATTTTGCATTTGGAGCACCTACCTCTACCATCAAATGAAGAGGGAATTAAATGGGCTCTTGTTTCATCTAAAGTTCTTGATGAAGCTTTGTTCCCTGCAGAAGTATTTTCCTGTAAAACAGATAATCAGGTATCATTAAAGTAGGATTAAAATCACTAACCTAAACAGAGCTAAACACACAAAAAAACCACCCCACCATAAATTAAAAAACCCTCCACCCATCCACAGAAGAAGGTGTAGAAAATTTTGTAGCCTTTTGTTGATTTTCTTAGTGGAATCATCATTTCAACCCTCCAGCATTACAAAATATAAGCAGATGTCTCCTCACTGCTGAGAAGAGGTGCCTTCTGCATTTTACAAAAGCATCCAAACATGATCTAACAACAAACAATACAATATTTTGATGTTTTTAGCACACTTGAAACAAAGTCCATCATAAAACTCAAATAAGTAATGAGAAAGGAAACTTCAGGGGTATCAAAAAGGTCTTTTTTCCATCACAGGCAGTTTCCTACTCAGAGGCACTGGAAATATTAATCTTTTTGGGTCCTTCAAAATTATTGTTTATCACTGCTGAAAACTCTGATTCAGTACGTATGACATACTGTTGTATATCATCAGTATTTTATTTACTAACAAACAAGGAAGCAAGGAAATCAAGAAGAACAAAGTTAAATCCCTACATCTCAACAATGTTTTTTTTTCTCCTTCTGGAATTCATTTTCTTATTTTTATCCTTTAGCACAAAGCAATTAAGGACAACAATGAAGACTTGTTTTTTTTTTCTTACATCTGTTACTTACTGTGTAAGTGACTGCTTACCTACTATTTCCAGGTGAAAGAGAAAACAATAAGCTGCTAAGAAAGTTCAGGAATATATGTGGTCTGTGTAGGCAATCTAGAAGTTTAGACCTACAGCAGGACCAATCTACATTCTACCTGGCTTTCCTCTATCTACTGGCAGCACAGACAAAGAAAGAATAGTAAGAAAGGGTGAGAGACAGCAAGCACTGACACCACCACCTACAAAACAAAACCTGAGAGCCTCTAGCTCTGAAACTCCTTGCTTGCAAGGCACTTAACTAGGTCTTAAACCATCACACTGAACACAAAATACTCGCATTCAGAAGCGCCTGCACTTCAGGCAAGTTTTATTCTCATGAGTTCTGCAACACGAAAGCACTGGCTAACCTTTGTACTCAGCAAGAGAGAAGCTGAGGCTGGCTAAGGCAGGCAGTGCTACTTCCCACTGAACTTACTGGTGCACTTTTGTGCTGTACATTCAGTGTTTCACTGCTTCCCAGACTCTGTGACTTGTGGAAATCCAGAATGCTAGCTTCAAACGTGGGTACAGGAAGAGGCTCTGGTTTTGGAGTTTGAGTTGACTTCTTGTTTGTAGTTTTATTGAACCTGTCTGAATAAAGCATGTAAAGTCCAAGTAATTAAACTTGCTTGTGATCATTTCCAGGTATGTTTTGCAGCACACTAATTAAAATAAATACAGGAATCATCTTGAGGACACACAGCTCATATTAAATATTAAATAAAAAAACCACAAAAATTATAACCAGTGTATACACAACACTGACTCAACAAGAAACTGTAAATTCAGGTGCTCGTTTTTTGAAATATTTTGAATCAGTTTATTGTAATTTGTTCAACCAGCAAAAGACCTAAGTCACCACTCTCATAAACAGTCACACAGAAAAGGTACCTTTTTCTTTAACTATTCTAGGTTTAGAGACATGATCACAAACTGCAGGCTACAGCACAAGCATTTTAACATCTATCCTGTGAACTTCTAACCAAAAAACAGGTTTGTACCTGGCTTCACGGAATCTCTGCTGCATGCAGGAGTTGGGAATGAAGTCCTGTTCATAATTCTGACTGAAGAGTCACTTCCATCATGCCTTTTCTTGTCCAGTTTTTTCTCACTTTCTTTGGATCTCCTCTGCTGCAAGTATTTGTGAGATATTTAGTTGATTTTGGTTTAACTTTGTAAAGTCAGCAAGTTTGCCCTGAGTTACAGTTAACCATTTCTCCACCTAGAGCTTGACCACCAAATTAACACAACATAGTTAGTGTACCATTACCACAAATAACCAATAAAAATAGGAACAGCCAGTTAGAGATGTGTTATTTAATTTCATCTATCTTGTTCACTGTGCCATTTTTAGCACTTACAGCTCAAGCTAGATGGGTAACTTCTACATGACTGCACTTTTAAGACCCCATTAATCAGAGCATTTACAATAATTTAAAATTGTTTCGTATTAAATCATCCAATCCGATTTTCTAAAACTGAGCTTCTTCGAGAACAGGCCTAAAATCCTAAAAGCTTGCCAATCTTTTGACTAAATTACATATTACAGAAAGAAACTTCATGAGACTGACGTCACAGCATCCAAAAATCTTGGAGCAGACAAAGCAGCTAGAAAAGACACATGTATCCCTGCAAAGGACACACATTCACTTACACTGTACAGTCACCAAAGCCTTGTGATTCTTCAAGAATCACAGTTTGGCAGAGCTGGGTGTAGGAATCGGTATGGCAAGCAAGGAATACACACTAGGCTTGCATCTATGCAGACTATACTACACCAGTCCAGACAAGTGGTTTAACCTTCTGATTACAGGATGGTGGACTAAATTCAAAGTAGGTCTGGCCGCAGAATTATTTTTCTGAGTGTGAGAACAAGGCATTTCTTGATCATTAAAGCCAAACTGCTAAAGCGCTGGGAGACGTGATCAAATTAATTCAAAGCTGCAAAGATCAATCATTTCTCTTAAGTTCACAAAAAAAAAAAAAAAATGACAGGGAACAACGACAAAGACTGTCAGACAGCACACAGCTTAGCCCAAGCCACTATAAGATCACAGAATTAATATTTTTGTTTTAAATCTTCTACCTATAGTAAGTTCTAGATATCCTTCAACAGGTGCTCTGATCATTTAGCAGTCACACAGCTCTCCCTCTTAACTCAGGTTCATGGAAGCTGCCATTAGACTCAAAAACAGCCCTTCCCCTCTTCCCCCAAGCCCAAATATAGTGAACAATGGAAAGCACAGTTCCCAAATGAATGGCCTTCTTTTCTCCCTTAGATGCTGCTTGCTGAGAAAAAAAAAAAACAACAAAATAATTAAATTCCTCTCATGTTCCAAAAATGCTGCATGAAAAACTGTATTAATTTGAAGTGTAGAATTCCATGAACTTTTGGTAAGCTGAACGTGGGCACATTATCATCCTCTTTACATGCCATT